GACGAGGCCAAATCTGGGTGGGGATACGCCGAGGATGCCTGAGAGGCGGCAGCTCTGGAGGATGTCTCGGGCGCCGCGGCCTGCTCAAAGCGCTCCAGAGCGCTCTGAGAGCGTGACCGCTCTCCTCCTGATCGTCCCCCTTCATTTTCGCGCGAGAGAAACTGCGAGCTAAATTTATGCGTATTAAAAGTCAGACATCCGGCGGCAACGGTGCTCAGTTCTCGAAGGGGTCCGTGTCGCGAACGTACCAGAAGTAGGTCACCATGGGCGCAATGAACGCCCCCACGAAGAGGATCGCGAAGACGCCGATGTACTGGTCAAACTTCTCCTCGAACTTCTGGTCCTGGGCGATCGCCTTCTCAGAGTCGACGAAGTCCTTCGAAGAAGTAACAACTTCATACAGTGGAGGCCAGTCCACAAGAAACCTTCCACAAGAAACCCAACCCTGAGACCCCAGGGCGTCCATTGACTTGTGGTGTGGGAGCGTCACGCTTCCCATCGCAAAACCATCGCAACCCAAGAAGCCCAGGGCCCACCAGAGGCAACCAGGGTGTTTCTTGGCGTGGGCCTCGACTGTAAACACAAGCTCTCGGGGCTCCGCAAGGACTGCTTGGATCTGCGCTGGGGTCCCCTCCCTGCTGCGCAGAGCACGCCAACGGGCGGCGCCGAGAGCCTCTCCAAGGGCCAAGAGGGAGGGGGGGGGGGGGCAGCGCCGACATCCAAGAGGTCCGCCATCGAGACGTGCTGTATTCGTGCAGGTGCTTCCGCCTCGAGTCCTTGAGCTTGGCCGTGCCCTTCTCCTCGTAGGTGCCGTCGAGGCCGCCCCCCGTCTTGCCGCCGTAGGCGACGTCCTTCGCGAGCTGCACGCTGGAGGCACCGAGGTCGTAGGCGAGGGGCGACCGAGCTGGATCGGCGAGTCCACTCGCGGGGGGGGGGGGGGGAGGAGGAAGTTGGCAGGGCGAGGAAGACCCCTTCTTCCTCCTCCTCCTCCTCCTCCTCCCCTTCTTCCTCCTCCCCCTCCTCTTCCTCCTCCTCCCTCCTCCTCCTCCTCCTCTTCCTCCTCCTCCTCCTCCTCTTCCTCCTCCTCCTCCTCCTCCTCCTCTTCCTCCCCTTCCTCCTCCTCCTCCTCCTCCTCCTCCTCCTCCTCCTCCTTTTCCTCCCCCTCCTCCTCCTCCTGCTCCTCCTCCTCCTGCTCCTGCTCCTCCTCCTCCTCCTCCTCCTCCTCCTCCTCCTCCTCCTCCTCCTCCTCCTCCTCCTCCTCTTCCCTCTAGGACCAGGGCGTCGCAATTCGGCGGGGGAGGAGGAGCAGTAGGAGGATCATATGGGGAAGCGGCGAAGCAGGAGGAGAAGGAGAAGGGGAAGAGGGACGGCGAAGGAAAAAGTTGGCAGGGTGAGGAAGACTCCGAGCCCTGGGCGTCGCCATTGTGCGGGTGAGGAGGAGCAGCAGGAGGATCAGATGGGGAAGAGGCGACAGCAGGAGGAGAAGGAGAATGGGGAAAAGGGACGGGACGGGGGAGGATGCCGAAAAAGAAAAGAGGGAGGAGCAGCAAACAGAAGTGTAGAGTACAGGCCAAGCAAAAAATGGGGGGGGGAGGGCGACGAGGGCCCAGACCTGATTACGGAGGCCTTGCGCGAGGGGTCTGGAGGACCATGTTTGAGGCCCCCGGAATACCAGAACAAGGACGCCCCCAAAAGACCTCGAGCCACGATCATCGATCCGCCTCTTCAGATGGGCGGCGAGCAAGGGGGGGAGTGAGAGGGGGCGGGCCTTCTCAAGTTACGGGAGTCCCCCCGGCCTTCTGAGAAATGTCCTAAGCCTTCCCCGAAGACAAAGTAAAACTTCTTGCAAGGCGCGAGGGCTTCTGAGAAGTCCCGCCGCCTTCTGAGAAGTCTTCTCCTGCTCACTTCCCCCCCTCGCTCGCCGCCGATCAGATCCCCGACGTGGTGCCGACCTAATGAGCAGGGACCGACCGTCCAGGCATTCCTATAGGCCTACCACGACATGTTCTTATAACCCCCAAAGTCTCTCAAACATTAGCCTGGCGGAGGACCCAAACCACATGCATTTGTGAGTACCGCAATAGTGAATATGTTCTTCGGTGGCGCTCCCTATGGGGCCACGAAACGCTGTACTGGGTCGGTGAACCGCCGGGAGCAAAGGCTGTGCTGGATGGTCGCGGACGCATGCGGGCGGTGCCACTGGGGCCTCCGGTGGAGCTCCCTATGGGGCCATGAAACGTTGTACTGGGTGGAAAAAACGCAGGGAGCAAGGGCTGTGCTGGGTGGTGGCGGACGCATGTGGGCGGTGCCACTGGGACCTTCGGTGGAGCTCCCTATGGGGCCACGAAACGAAGTACTCAGTGGGCGAAACGCAAGGAGTAAGGGCTGTGCTGGGTGGTGGCGGACGCATGCGGGCGGCGCCACTGGGACCTTCGGTGGAGCCCCCTGATGGGGCCACGAAAAGCTGTACTGGGTGGGTGAAACGCAAGGAGCAATGGCTGTACTGGGTGGTGGCGGACGCATGCGGGCGGCGCCACTGGGACCTTCGATGGGGCTCCCTCTGGGGCCACGAAGCGCTGGGGAAAACGGGGAGGAAGGTCTGTGTTGGGTGGTGGCGGACACATGCTGGCGGTGCCACTGGGGCCTCCGGTGGAGCTCCCTATGGGGCCATGAAACGTTGTACTGGGTGGAAAAAACGCAGGGAGCAAGGGCTGTGCTGGGTGGTGGCGGACGCATGCGGGCGGTGCCACTGGGACCTTCGGTGGAGCCCCCTATGAGGCCACGAAGCGCTGTACTGGGTGTGTGAAACGCAGGGAGCAAGGGCTGTGCTGGATGGTTGCGGACGCATGCGGGCGGTGCCACTGGGACCTTCGGTGGAGCTCCCTATGAGGCCACGAAGCGCTGTACTGGGTGTGTGAAACGCAGGGAGCAAGGGCTGTGCTGGGTGGTGGCGGACGCATGCGGGCGGTGCCACTGGGACCTTCGGTGGAGCTCCCTATGGGGCCACGAAGCGCTGTGCTGGGTGGGTAAAACGCATGGAAGAAGGAGGGAGGGGAGGAGGGGGAGGAGGAGGAGAGGAGAAGAGGAAAGGAACTCGGGGACCGTCTCTTCAAAACGAGGACCCAACACCACAGGATGGTTGGGAACAAAACCGATGTTCGGAGAACATAATCCCGATGTGTTCTAACAAGACGGTCCCAGACAGAGCTGTTCTAAGAACAGTTCGCGCAGACCACAGAATGTGCTGAGAACATTGCTTGGTGGGCCTCTAGGCAAGAGACGCTTCGCCACTGCTCGAACCTATTCCCAAAAGCACCGGCCTCTTCCTCCGCAGCCGTCATCTGGCGGCCCCATGGGGCCCCACATCGGCTTCTCCACGACGCGAAGAGGGATGCAGGCTCCACGGTCCTAGGCTGCGATGCCCACAAAAAGGAACCTGCGCCATGACCTCGGTCACCAGGCGTCGCCCCTCGTCGAGTGTCGATCTCCTATCCTTCAACCCAAAAAATACATCGATCATCTATGCTGGAGCCTCGATCCTCGATCCCGCTCCTCCGCGATCCTCGACCCGACTGGGCCCAAATTCCGGCCTCCACCGAAAACCTCGATCCTCGACGCTCCTCCCTGGCCCTCGGCAAGGGGGAGGAGGACCCCAAAATCGGACGATGCCCCAATGGACACAACTAGTTACTTTCCCGACGCTTCCGAGGCTGAACGACGCGGTACCAGAGACCAGCGCCGTCACGCGCGACGACTGCCCGCCGAAAAAAACCCAGACGTCCGACGGAGTGCCTTCGATCAGTCAGTGGGCTCCAAAGATCTCGAGACCACTTTTTAAGACTCGGGGCGCCCAAGAGGGGAGCGCCCACGAGGGGGGGGTCGCAAATCATGGCCCGAGGCATGTGCGCAGACGAGGGGGGGACCATGGGACACATCGAATGAAGAAGAGAGAGGCCATGAGATCTGGGTATAGACCATGGCCCCGCCATGAGGATCCCGCCCGGGTCACCCTCCCCCTCCCCGAAGGACGAGGCCAGAATCAAGGACAAATCGAGCTGGGGCAAACCGGGGGTCTCGGAGATCTGGCGGTTATGGCGGATGTCTCGGGCGACGCGGCCGTCCCACAGCGCTCCGGAAAGCTCTGAGAGCTTCCCGTTATGCTCCGGAGCGACTTTTTCTGTTCTTGGGACCGCCCGACCTTCCCCGCAGGGGTTGTCTCCAGTGCCGGATCCGTCTCCGACGGCCCGCGGTGCCAGAAGAACACGACGATGCAATGACGAGGATACAATGGAGAGAGGATGAATCGGGAACCTCTGAGATCCAGCGGTTCTGAAGGATGTCTCGGGCGCCGCGGCCTTCTCAGAGCGTTCCTGGACCCGCGCTCTGGAAGGGATTTATCCTCCTCCTAGCCCCGTCCTGAAAAACGACCCCAAAGGGGGCCCAAACTGCGAAAAAGAACGCGATTGGATTGAAGTTCCAGAATGATGGCTGGGGCTTTTGTGGTCGAGCCAGCGCGCAAGACACACATTGAAATGGCAATACTCGCCAGCGTGGACCCCGACACAACATTGTGGTGCAAATTGTGTGGTGTGAGATATGTGGTCCAGTGAATGAGTGCAACGATGCCGAAGCGGGCGTCAACGTGACAAAACCTCGCCAGACCCAACGAGCGCATGGGGCGGCAACGAGGCGACACTTGGAGGTAACGTGGCGAAAGCTCTCCAGACCCGCCCAGCGAACGAGGCGGCAACGATGCAGCAACTGGCGGCAACGTGGCGAAACCTCGTCGGACCTATCCCAGTCGTAGAAGCACTCGTAAGAACCCCATAAGTGCAAGCACTGCTTGGTAACAAACTATGAGCCCAGAATTCCTACCACCATTTCGCGAGCCTAAACAGTACTTAGAGGAGAGGGGGGATGTCTGCAAAACCAGCCAACCATCATGCAGATTACGAATTGGTGGCCAGGCCTCATTGGATAGCCTTTTGATTCCTCAACGTAACATCAGCATGGTTCGATGAAGGCCCTGTTAGCTCGCGCTCGTGCCGTTCGCATCACAAGCCAAGGGAGAAAAGAGATCGCGAATCGGATCCGCAAGCCCAAACGAGGAGGGGTGAAGGCCGATGCTGCAGCATGCATCGCTGAGCCGCCCATGACGAGTCAGCGGTCCAGAAGCGCACGCCCAGCTAGCACGTCAACCGAAGGCCTGTTTGAGCAGCTTGTGACTGCGCAGGCATGTAGAGCATAGGGTAGTAACCCTTCCTCCACTTGCCGCCACTTGCTCAGGAGTCCCACTGGCCCTGCAGGGCGTAGGCGGCCTGACGATAGTCTTCCTTCCTCGTCCGAAGCCCCTCGTCCCTTCCTTCGGGGAGGGGTTATCCTCCCCCCCTCCCTGAGGTTTTCTTGGGAATACCGCGAGCGGTCAGAGCGCCGAAGATGGTCAAAGATGGCTTCAAGAGGGCTCCCGATGCCCCAAGATTGCTCAAGATGGCAGAATATGGTTCAAACAAAGATTGCTTCCGACATGCCTCTAAGAGGCACAAGAAGACCACAAGACAGCTGCAAGTTCTCCAACAACCCCCTCAGGACTTCCCCGATAGGCCAACATCCTTTAACAACCTTCTCGCCATTTCGCTTCCGATGCGGCTTTGAGGCCTCATGACGGCCCCAAGATGGCCCAAAAGAGCCCCACGTGGAGCTATCATTCTGGAACCCCCTTCTTCTGGTCGACGCACTCCAAGATGGCCCAAGTTGGCCTCCAGGGATCCCAAGAGGCCCCCAAGGAAGGCTCCAAGAGAGCCCCTCCAAAATACGTCCAACACGGCCCCAAGAAGGCCGCGAGAGAGCCCGACGAGAACACCAAGCGGGCCTCTAACAGACCCTCAAGCGGCTGCCAGAGTCTTCGTCCTCCTTCTCCTCGTCTGCATGCTCTTCCTCCTCATCCTCCTTCCTCTTGACCACTTCCCTGGGGCCCGCTTTTCATGCCGAATCGGTGTTGGATCGCCCCCAAGGCTAGGACACGGCATCGCAAGGGCCCAAAAACTACGGAAGCACTGGTAAACGCGATAATGCTGTACGCCTGGGTCTGAGAAACTCCACCCCAGACTCCAGACGTCAAGAGTTTTTACAGCATGGATCCCCATGGATGTGGACCCCTTCCCGTGGACTGGCTTCTCTTCCTGCATGCGGAGCATAACGACAAAAACTTGCGTCGTGCTTTGATCCACGACGCGAGGATGTCAGGGAGCACCGGGCATCGCGATTCTTCTGTGCAGAAGCCTGAGTCTGAGGGCTTCCTGCATGGCGAGAAGGCAGGAGGCGGCGGCGACGGCCATGGATCTGCACGTGTCCAGGCATCAGCAGCGGTGGGCACAAGACTCAGAGAAGCAGTGTGCCCGGATCGGTCCGCAAACGGGCGGAGGTATACCCTCCCCAACGACCGAACCCGGGACACCTCGATGCCAGCACCCTGCGCTCGCTTTGAGGCCACCAATGAAAGGGCCCAAGGACACACACACACATATATATATATATATATCAATATCAATATCAATATATATCTATATATATATATATACAATACACACAAACAACGGGATTCCCCGTATTCTTCAATTGTTTTTGGATGTTCGCCTTCCCCCCTATATTTTCCAATATTTCCGGTATTTTCCATATTCTTCCATATGTTTTGGGGACTTTCGTCTTCCCCCCCACACATTTTCTTCGCTTTCAGTATTTTCCTATCTTTCCCATACCTCCCCATCTATTTTCCTGGGGATCGACGATGCATTGTGTCTGCGTGTTTTTCTCCCCCTCCTCCCGAACCGAGCCACGACCCCGGCAGCGGCGACGGCGTGGACGGGGCGAGGGCGCGCAGCAGTCCTGGGCCCGGCCTCGCCCGCGAGCAGGGCGCCCGCCAGCGCCACCTCCCCGGGCGGCGAGAGCGCCGCGCGTGCCCGCGGCTCCCCGGGTGGCCGGCCCCACCCCCCCCTCTTTTGGTGAAGGGGCCCTTAGGGACACACGAAGAAGTACACACCAATATACAGATTCCCCATACTGTCCCATATTTGTTGGGTGTTCGTCTTCCCGGGTGGCGGCCCCCCCCCCTTTTGTGAAGGGGCCCAAGGGCACACGAAGAAGTACACACAAATCAACATATTCCCCACATGGTCCCATAGCTTTGGGGATTTGCGTCTTCCCCCCCCCCCCCCACTGCCCATGTTTGCCCATATGTTCTGGGGAATCGACGATTAGTTGTGTCTGTGTGCAGGAAGCGGCGCGCACACCACGGGGAGCATTGCGACCCCGATCCCCGACTCCCCCCTTCGGCTTCCCGACGGGCAACGAAAGGACGGGACGGGGACACCACTCGGGGACATACACACGACGGCGAGGGCTGCGTCCTCGACAGCGGTGCGTGCGCACAGCCCCCTGAGGGCGTATCCCCGAAGTCGCCCCCATCTTCTGAGCGCTCTAACTCGGAACTCGGGGATTGGGCGC